CCAAAAGTTACGGCTATTGAGGAGGCTCAAGATGTTGACAACCTCAAGCTGGATCACTTGGTTGGAAATCTCCAAACTTATGAGGCACATAGGAATTTCAAAAAGAAACAAAAAGATGCTATTGCTGTTAGAAGTGCTCATAGAGTTACAGAGGATTCTGATGAGGATTGTGAGATAGATTCCAAGATTACGGCTGCTTTTGTTAAACAATTTAAAAAATCTTTTTTGAAAAAAAATCCTAATCTTTTGGAATCTACTCATACTCATAAATCTAAAGGCAAAGATAAACTCAAAATTAATTCTATAGCCAAGAAGGAGAAAGTAAAGATACAAGGGAACTCTGAAAGAGTCCAATGCTATGAATGCCAAGGATTTGGCCACTTTGCTTCAGAATGCCCCACTCGTTTGAGGAAGAAGAAAGCCCTCGCTATCACTTCGGATGATGAATCAGAATCTGATGAAGATGAAAGTGACAACGAAGATCAAGGCGAAGAGGGACATAAACAATTCCTTGCTTTCATGGTGGCTTTCGAAACTGAAGGATGAACAGAGTATCCGAAAAGGTCGGTTGAGAATGCCACTGATGATGAATCCTTGGAGAGTGATGATGAAGATCTTGAGCAAGCTTATGAAAAGTTTTATAAGGAGTCTCTTAACTTATCCAAATTGAATGACAAACTCACAACAAAACTCAAAGCATGTGAAAGTGAGAATGTCAAACTTAAGGATTCAAAGTTTCCTGTCCGCTCGAGCAGACATTCCCCCACTCGAGCAGAGAATGCTGAGTTCCAGAAGTTTATTCGCCTGCAAAAATACTGGATGTTGTTTTTTCCCGCTCGAGCGGAACTTTCCGTGCTCGAGCGGAAAATCTGACGCTCCAGCGGAGATTGCGGGATAGATTTCTATAAATACGTGTTTCAGTCCAAATCTAGGGTTAACGCCTCCAGATCTTCTTCTTGGGTTCTAGGGTTTATATCTGGGGCTATTTTGCTAGTTTTCTTTGATGTTTCATTGAGTATTCAACTCATGGTTTAAGGAGGATACATCAAAGGATTGTTTGTTCATTCTATACAGAAGAGAGAGTTGTTCTTCAGTGGATTATGAAGAATTCGAGCCTGAAGCTTTGGTGGATTCTGGAGTGGCTCATCGTCAAGACAATTTCAAGGTAAAGACGGGATAGGAAGAGGTACATAGGGGTTGGTTCAATTCGGGCGTGGATTCGCTAGGTAATTGAGAGTATACCTGTGTAACTCCTTTATATCTTCTTAGTGGATTGTTTTTGTGGCGTTGCCCGTGGTTTTTTTATCACAATCGGGGTGCTCCAATTATGGTTTTTCCACGTAAAATCGTTGTGTCGATTTGTCTTGATTGTTTGATTGGGATTGTTATATACTGCTTAAAATTGTTACATAATCACAAATCAACATCTAAGGGTGTCACGCCCCAAACTTGCCCCTAAAAGTTCGGGCATGACCCATTCAGAAAGAGACATATAACCTGGTGTATATAGCATATGGGGCCTTATCGGAAGCGTAAAATATTAAAAGAATAATAAGCTAAACAAACTCCATTGAACTATTTCTACTATGCCAGGATCTCATACATCACATGCACCATAATGGACCGATAAAGTCCAAAAATATTCCTTAACAATATTTATACACAAACTCATATACAGACCCAGCCCTATAACCGGGCATGTAACAAAAATCTGTTGAAGTTATATACATTCAACCTTGGAAGGATAGCCAAGAAGTAAGCTAATTATCTTAATAAACTTCACAAAATAAGTGGCCTCGTAAGTGCTTGGATACACGAAGGTTGACAAAAGAAACCGGGCTTCATGGGTTAGGATTGACCACCTGGTTGGTTGCCTACAGAAACAGACATAACAGAGAGTGAGCCGGGCTCAGTGAATAGTAATACATAAATGAAACAATGCTCAACTTGAAACATGACATATATCAATATATATGGAAGTGCAGAGGTCACATAATTAGCCTGATTCTGTGTTCATCTTATAACGGCCTTAGGCCTAATCTTGAACATAACAGCTGGCATAACACATCTTAAATCATAATGGCTTAAAGCCCTTGAACATGGTGGCATAATGCCCTTGAACATGGTGGCATGATGCCCTTAAACGTGGTGGCACAAGGCCCTTAAACATGATGGCACAAGGCCCTTAAACAGAGTGGCGTTATGCCCTTGGATAATTTGGCACCAAGCCCTTGAATATACTTATACGAACTCAAGAGGTGTCTCACACGGATTCTAGAGATGGCTCACGTCGTAGCATTTAGTTCCGTGTAGCACTTTGTTTCATATCATAACAACTTATATTGTATGGCCGTAGGCCCAGAGTCTCATAGAAGGAAGGTACTTTATCCTTCCCATTTCTTTCTTTACATACTTGGAACATACTTGAACATTAACATACATACTTGAAATATGAACATAGTTGCATACTTGAAACATTAACATAGTTGCGTAAACGAAATGCTAATGAAAATCATTAGCCATATGTAAAGCGGATAATGATATTACTACTCACAGTGTTGTGATGATGTGCTTATTCCTCCCGGAGTGTGCCCTGCACACATTCAACCTTTACAATTTAGTTTCCTTTTCATATCAGATTATTTTCTATTTCGTTTTACTTCGAAGGAATTTATACATATTAAAAGGCATCAAATACATATTCCGACAACATTAGAGGGTTCTACACGCAAAATGGAGCGATCCACATTTTTTAGCATGGGCCGCACGTGCGGCTGTGAGCCCCGCACGTGCGGCAAGCTCTCCCGCACGTGCGGCAAAATGCCCCGCACGTGCCTTTTAGACAGTGGCCAAGCCCCTGTTTTTCACCATTTCCCGCACGTGCGGCCATGACTCCCGCATGTGCGGCAGCACCTCCCTCACGTGCGGCCATGACCCCCGCACGTGCGGCGATTCTGCTCAAAATTGTCCGAAAATTTCTTACAAAATCCCATCTTTTGGTACATCCTCACAAGGCTCATTTTAACATTTTTAGTTGACAATACATAATCTAAAATTCATATTACAAAGGCTTCAAATACATACATTAAAGTAGATAAACACTAGTTCTTGAATTCTTAACTATGATCAAATTTCCCTTTTTTTTTTTTTTTTTGTAAGTTCTTCATGATCTTTCATGAGAAAGTAAGAAATCAAAGCTAAGTTCTCCACATACATACATAAGCAACTTAGTTCAAGCTCATCCAATGGATAAAACATGATCCAATTACACCTTGGGTTCAATTATCATGGTTGTATTACCCTCAAATTTCAAGAGAGGAATTATAAAAGATAGACAAACTTACCTTGAGTTGAGATCTCCCAAAGTCTCTCTCTAGGTTATTCAATCTCTAGCCTTTATTGAAACTCCCTTCTCATTTCTCTCTACTCTTATTATCCTTTTCCAGGAAATATGTTGAACTAAGTCCAAAGCTTAAAGAACACATACATATTTATAAGAGCTAATAAGACAAAAGTCAATCGTTTAAACATCCGAAATTGAAATTTCCCAAAAATGCTTAATATTACCTAAAAATTATGCTAATCACATGTATAAAATCAATTTCAGATAATTAAGCCTTTAAGGCCTCCAATTTCGATTCAAACCTTCTAATGTAACAGATACTTTTCTTGTTGAACAGATAGGCATCCTTAATCATATGGTTCACTTAATTTAAATTACCCATAGGATTTCACAGTAAGCATTCAAATCACAAAATAGGATCCGAAAATATAACAAAGAACATGTACGAGGGTCGGGTTATTACAAGGGGGATTTCTAGATTTTTCAATATATAAATGACGAATTTTGTGAAAAAAATGAGAAATGTTGTTTATTTTGGAAATTGTTGTCAAAATGTTGATTTAGTCTTGAATTGACTAAATTGTTGAGATTGCTCGAAATGTGGGAATTACGTTATTCTCTTGAATGAATTGGATATAAAAGTATATATATATATATTCATCTTGTGGAATTGTGTTGAAAAGAGGATTGAGAATTTTGATCACAATGGTATATTGTGTGGCACAATTGAATATGGAAGTAATGTTGCATCGCATTATTAAGCATACATTGGCATTTCAATTCATTGGACTATGTTAAGCTTTGGAAATTTGCATTGAGAAAAGAATGTTGGGAAATGGGTTTTCATGAAATGGTTTTGGGGTAAATATGGTGGTAAGTCTTGATAGGTGGCGTAGATGAAATTGTTTAAGTTGGCCTGAGTGTCCTTGGTGAAAGACCAGAAAGTCGCGCGGATAGGTGTCGAGCCTTCTGGTTAATACCGGTAAAAATGATAATTGGTAGTACTCGTATAGTCTACTTGCAGACACCGGCCTAGGGATTGCCAGAGTTGTATTTACTGCCCCCTTTAATTAAATTGATAAATTTTGAACAGTTGAAGTTGCATAACATCATTGAGCATGATGGTTTTCAAAAGATGAAGATGTGTTTTATTTTCAAAAAGACATGGCATGGTATTTTCATTCATCTCTTAAGACTTGTATAAAATGTATATACTTTGTTAAGGATTTCCTATTGGGCTTTATGCTCACCCTACCGGATTTTTGTGCAAGAAAAGACGTGGTGAATCCGCCTAATTGAGGGCGTGGAAATGTGTGTGTTGAGAGCACTAAAGTTCTCATTTGCTGTGATCCTATTTGTAAGCCAAGGGCTATGTATGTGTGGGTTTGAATAACCATTTTGTATACCGGGCTTAAGCTTTAGAAGATTGTAAACTCATGGGGGTGCTTATTTGGTTATTTACTTGTTGTTGAATCAATGTAATATCGCATGAGGAACTATTATTATTATGTAATGCAAGTATGAGAAGTTATATTTGGTTTTCCTTTAATAGAGCCATGATTGTTGCATTATCATTTGGGCTAGAAATTTGGGGCGTTACATCATTATTGTAGTTTTGTCATTGAAACTTATATATATTAAACAATGTGGCGGATATATGGCTCCAAAGTATACAATGCATGATCAATTCTCACTCAAGTCAGATGTGTTTAGTTTTCGTGTCCTAATTTTGGAAATTGTGAGTGGCCAGAAGAACAATTGTTTTCACAATGGAGAGAATGTGGAGGATCTTTTATGTTATGTAAGTATCAATATTCATGATAACTTGCCAACACCATGAAATTTGTTAGGCCGTGAAAGCTTATTCCACATATTGAATTCTTCCAGGCTTGCAAAAGTTCGCAGAAAGGAATAATTGCGAATGTAGTTGATCCCACATTGAGGGATGGTTCGCGTTCGCTGCGTGAAACGATCAGATGCATTCATATTGGGCTGCTATGTGTACAGGAAAACGTGGTTGCAAGACCAACCATGGCTACAGTTGTTCTCATGCTTAATAGCTTCTCTCTTATCCTTTCCCTCCCTTCAGAACCAAATTTGAACTATTGATGTTTGGGCTGAAGTATGTTGTTGTAGGGCTGAAAATTATGGAACTTACAGACATAATGTGGCTGGTTGTCTACTGCAAAATAAGTGGAAAAGGGGATTGATTGACTAGTCTTGATTGGTTGAAAGCATGGGTCAAGATTTGATGGAAATAGGCTAAACGGAGGCTAAGAGTGGATATTTTCCGAGTAATTATTTTTGTACGGCATGGGTTAAAGAGATGAAGGAAATTAGAGAAAAAGTTTGCAAATTAGCTGTAGCATTTGAAGGTCAGCACCCGCAAATTTGACTATCCTGCCCGCGAACATGCCGCGATAAAAACATACTCGCAATACTTTTTCTTTGCCGCCTGCGAAGGTGGTTTACTCCTGCACATGACACAGTCGCACCCGCGACAGTCATAACTGTGCCCGCTATGGTGCTCTCCCTAAAGTCTATTTATAGGACCTTTGCTGAATTGTTTTGGCATCTCTTTTGGATCACTCCACTTCTCTCCATAACTTTTTTTTTTTTTCATATTGCTTTACTTAGAGAGAGGTTTTTATGAGAGAGAGTTTTGTAGTGAGGAAACTATGCCTCCGTCCAAAAAATAATAGTCCCTTTTGGGGGATCCAACTTTTTTTCGTAGTACAATTATTGCACTTTAAAAATTTCAATTTTCCAAAATTACCCTTTGATAGTACATTTTTTTGGGAATATCAATTGTCATAATTGTACTTTTTGTGTTGTTAATGAATTTAAAAGAAAGGCAAAATAGGAAATTCATATTATTGTAGTCCTTAATTTTTTAAAATGGACTAACATTTTGGGACAATGAAAAATGGAATATGGGACTAATATTTTGAATCAGAGGAAGCGTTATTCTCTCTTGTTGTTTTGATGATACATTAGTTCTTACGTGCTTCAAGTTCATCATCAAGTTGTAAAATTTCTTCACATCTTTCAAAAGTGATTATTGATTATGGATTTAATCCAAGGGAGTAATGGTTCACATAAACCTCCTTTGCTTTACGGAACCAACTATAGTTTTTGGAAAGCTTGAATAAGAGCATACTTAAAATTTATTAATGACAGAGTTTAGCGATCCGTCATTAAAGAATGGAGTGAACCCATGGTCACTGTAGGTGTGAGTATTCCAAAACCTATGGATAAGTGTGATACTGATGATTATTCTAATGTAAATTGTAATAACAAGGCTATCAATGCTATTTTTGGTTTTGTCACTAAAGAAGAATTTTCGTCAGATTTGTACTTGTGAATGGCCAAAGAAGCATGGGATATTCTTGAAACAGTTCACGAGAGCACTAATGCCATAAAACGTAGCAAACTTCAAAGGCTTGCTTGTAGTTTTGAAATACTTTTAATGAAAGATGATGAGACCTTTGATGATTTTTATGCCCAACTCAGTGATATTGATATTGTTAATTCCTATTTTGCATTAGGAGAGAAAAGTCCTGAGTCTAAGGTTGTTACTAAAATTTTGAGATCATTACCCGACCGTTTTCAATCAAAAGTTACGGCTATTAAAGAAGCTGAAGATGTTGATAGTCATAAGCTGGATCAATTGGTTGGAAACTTACAAACTTATGAGCTAATATTTTCTCAAAGAAAAAATGAAAAGGCATTGTAGCTTTTAATAGCACTCATAAGAATTTTAAAACTGCCAAAGAAGCTGAAGATTTTGAATCCAAAATGATGGCTTTGTTTACAAAAAAGTTTCAACAATTTATGAGAAAGAAAAAGCGTAATTTCAAGGAATCAATTTCAAGGGAGCAAAGTAATGAAGAGCAAAATTTTTTAAACCCGACAAAAAGAGCATGAAATTTCAAGAAATACAATGCTATGAATGTCAAAGGTATGGTCACATAGCACTTGAGTGTCCTTTAAGAAGAATAAAAGAAAGCTCTCAAAATCACATGGGATGATGAGAGCAACTCAGAAAATGAGGAAGGAAATGAAGGTACAAGTGAACGTCCTTTCATGGCCTTTTGTGCTACATCTTCAATGCATGAGCAAGAAGCAACACACAATGCCTTGGTTGCAAGGCTTGATCCAGCCTCAAAAGATAAGGACACTTTTGATAGTGAAGATGAGGACTTTCAAGGTACTTATGTGAAGATGTACAATGAGTGTCGCAACTTGTCAAAGCAAAAAGGCGAACTCACTATTAGCTTGGAAGAAAGTGAGAAGAAGAAACATCAATTAAAGGAGGAGTTCATGGAAGCTCAAACAAATATAAGTTCTCTCACCAATGAAAAGACCATTTTGATTGATGAACTCTCTACTTGCAAAAATGAGAGATTTTTTTCTTGGTGAACATGATGAGCTTAAGAAGAGTTTTGATCTCCTTAAAGAGAAAGCTAAAAATGGTGCTAGGACAAGAAAAACACTTGAACAAAAATGTGCCAAAAGGGAACTTGAATTGATCAGTGCCAATGCCACACTCAAATTATGGAACACAAGTTCAAAGAATTTGGATGCTGTTCTAAATTCACAACAAATGGCCAATGACAAGAGTAGTCTTGGCTACTGCAACAATCTCAACTCCAAACCCAAAGGATCTACCTCCAAGGACGCAAGCACACAAGGTATACAAGGCTGTCTATAATGATCCAATTTATTTTTTTTTTAAAAATAGCCAGTGCATAATTTAATTGAGCAAATTTTCGAATTTGAGTGCTGTGTAAATTTTATGCGAAAACAGTTCGATTTTTTAATTTTTTAAAAATAGTTCCCGATCTCAGAAAATTATGAAATTTTTATATGTTGTTCACATATGAGTCTAGCACGTTGGATACAAATTTCAGAATTTAATAATGAGTATTTATTTTATGAAAATTCACGGACTGATTGGTGTTTAGTTTAATTTATAGCAGAAATTTGTTATTTAATTTTTAATGTTTAGATCATGATTTGGATAGATTTGTTGGGTCTATTTTGGTATATAATTGGGTCATGTTTGGCTTATGGGTGGGAATTTAATTCAAAACCCATGGCTTGGATTCAATTTAATTTGAGTTTGTTTATGACTCATATTTAACTGTTTGGTCATTTTTAATTACGTGATTAGTAGTGACCATATTGGGAGTTGTAATTATTTATTATACATGGTTATAATACATATTTGAAAGTTGAATTTATGGTGTGTACCATATGGTGAAAATTTGTATATTTTTGAAGTGTATAAAATGGGTGCATATTTCGTGGTGAGCAAAATATTATATTTTATGGTGTACAAAATGTTATATTTTGTGGTGAGAAAAATTATATCATTTTATAATTTATATTATAAAATTTTGAGGAATTATTACATAAATTAAATTATTTTTTTGAAAAGAAACCACTCTTGGAAAGACAATCCACACGGGGTTGTCCCCCACACCACTCAATTTCTGTCCTCCCCTTTTTTGCTTTTCTTGGGCTGAATAGAGAGCTCATCTCTCTCTCTCTCTCTCTCTCTCTCTCTCTCTCTCTCTCCATGTTCACCATTGTTGCTCAATCTTTGAGCTTGAAATGAGAGTCTTTAGAGTGAGATTTTGCAAAAGTGTTGTAAATGAAAGTCGGAGACCTCTTCGTGATCTTCGCAATGGTAGTCTCAGATTCATGATTGGGCAAGATTTGCCTTCCAGATCTACTCTTCTTCATTATATGAGGTAGGGACTTTCTTCATATTTTTACATTAAAGCTATATTAGGGTTTGTTGAGAAAATATATCATTATAAGAGGTATTGCATATATATATATATATATTTTTTTTTCAGATTTTGTTTGGTAATTTTTGGAAGAAAAATTATGTTGAAATGCTAAGAATGTTGACATTTTGAGATTGATTTGGAAAAATCATTTTGTGTTGATAATTTTGCAAAGAAATCTGAAAATAAAATTTAATAGTTGTATGATTGTATTTACACCATATTATGATTAGATGATTTATTTTGAGAAATATAAAGCTGATTTTTTTTTTCCTTTGAATTGGAATTTATTTTTGAGAAAAATAAATTAATGTTGAGGAATATGGAGTAAATGCTTAAGTAGGAATTATAGAATTGTTTTGGAATTAAAAACTCTAAAAGTGTTATATTCATGATATTTTATAAAAGATGATATGTTGATGATTAAGTTGTGTTCATTTTTATGAAAATAAAAAAGTGAAATGTGGAATTTCGAACTCATAATCTTGAAAATGTTACTTTGGGCATATTTCATAATTTTTGATATATCATGTTGGTTAAGTAATTTTAGAAAAAGTTATAAAATTGTTATTGGTAGAGAATTTGGTAAAAATATTACCTCTTTAAATAGCTTGGCATGAAAAATGGTTATGTTGAAATATAGTTTTGCTTGAGGGATGAGGCATGTGAAGTTAGGTTTGGTATTATTAATTTGAAATTTTTTTAATATAATAAACTTACTAATTTAGGGGATTAAATTAGTTTTGGTTAAAAGGTCATATCCGTTATGGTTAAAAGTGTGTTATTAAGATTATACCATAACTTTTGACATAGTAGGATGGAAATGGTAATATTTAATAAGTAGGGATTTCCTTTGAGTTATATATATGTTTTTGCAAGATCTAGATGATTTTCGAAATCATCCTTTGATTTGTTTTGAAAATTGATTGTTGATTCAAGAAGATGAGAGATTTTTTTTTGAAAGTGGGTTTACTTTCTTGTTCCTTTTAAAAAAGAAATTGAGGGTTTTGAAATGTGAGGATTGAAGAGAGATGTTTTTGGTGACTTTCTTTCAATAAATGAAGAGTGATTTTGGTGTGAAAACCTAGAAATTGGGGGTTTTTAAGAAAGATGTTGACAATCTTTGAAGATGTTGTTATATTTATTTACATATAAATGATGGTTTTTATGGAATATGAGAATTGTTGAAGTTTTGGAAATTGTTGTTAAAAATGTTGATATAGTCTTGAAGTGACTAAATGGTTGAGATTACTCTAAGAGTGAGAATTTCGTTGTCCCATGGATGAATTGGAATAAAAGTATTTATATTTA